CGTCTATTACAATTTGTTAGAATATATATCAGACGTAGAAAGTATGTATACGCATATACGTGTGTGTATTAGAGTATCGTATCAGCTAAACTTGAAATATTTATCATTTTTTCTTCTGGAAAAACTCTTTTGGAGAGTAACCTAATGGAGCTATCCACAAATTCTCATATAGATTAGAATTAATGTCTATCACTCTAGGGACTCTACAGTCTGAGACAATCTGATTCAGCCCTCTCACACATCTAGTCCCCTCTCGACGCTTTGGAATAAACTTTGTTTATCTAACCTCTATTGACGGGACAAGTTAAAGTCTTTCATATCAGTTATACGTTAATATTTTTCCATATATATATATGATGAAATATTCCTTATCTTCTTAAAAACCTTTCTAAAAACAATTTAACAGGGTTTCTATATATTCTCACATTATACATGAAATAATGAATCGTTATCGCCGATGAAAATTGAAACCTCTTCTCAGAAAGTGAAAGATTTCTTAAAAAAGAAACTCCATCATAATTCATACTTTACCAAATAGATAACATGACATGGTTTTCGACGATACGTGTCAAAAAACGAATTGAGTAGGGCATGTCTACTTCACATGTCTCTTTCCCTTTTTATCGTTTGTTTTTGTGTTTTTCTATTGTTTAAGATGCTTTTAGAAAGAGAAATTAGCTCAAATGATCAATCCTCTCATCCAAACTGGTCTTTTAGTCATTTATTTTTCGGGTTTACTCAAATGTCACTATTTTCACAGTATACAGGTTCGTAATATTGCAGACTTAACTAAAAGACAAAAACATATCAAATCCAACCAGTTTACTGTCGCAATTGCGGACCTGACCGTCGTAATTTTGAAAGTAATGACATTGGGTCCACCACGAAAGTATATGGTTATAAAACCAATTTAAATGCGAGAAATGGTCATTTAGTTCAAAAACTATTTTAGAAAGCATATAAAACTACCTTTATTTATTTATTAATATATTTTTAATAATTTATTTGATGTGATTTTTTTTAAGTTTTAACCATTTATTGTAAATTTGTAATTAATGGTATTTTTAGATGAATATATTTGCCAGAAATAATAATTGATTAAAAATAGTATTCCTATATTTGATCTCTTAAAATATAAATTAAGATGTAACGATATATAAAACATATCAAATCAAATTCAACAAATATATTTAAATTATAAAATTAATATTATGATGTAAATTGTTTATTGTGGACCACATACCTTGTCATATACCTATTTCTTGAGCATTCCCAATATCCCGAAGCCACTACTAAATTACTCTTTTAGGTAGAGTAATACCTGATACACTTGTTGAACAACCCTTTTATAGATTGATCATTTTGACAAGATAAATAGACTGGCAATAGATATCAGTTACAAATTAGATCACTACAATGTATACAGTGACACCCATCTTTTAAGGTAATGAATACTGCTCAAATAAGACCAACGTAAGATCATGAATGATATCAGGACTCATTTTGACCTACAAATGAAGTTATTACAAACTAACGAGGCTACAAAATTTCACTACGAGATAGACGGCAATGGAACTATAACAGTTCTCGTATGTCTTTACTTTGGATGGTAATTGATCTCATATGCTCTTACCGTAATTTCTTATCGTTTTGGTATACATAATTTATTAATTTTTAATTATGATTTTAAAATTTTGAAATAAATACACTTTAAATAATACGTTTACTTGAATGTAAAAAAAAAAAAAACTTGAAAATTTGTGAAAAAAAAAACTTGTATTATAATTAATAAAAACTAAAAAAATGATAAATCAATCATATACATAACCGGTTTGGGACGATCCATCTCAATCAGTCCTGAGCCAGGTTGACATCTACAACAATAATATGACCCAACGGACAAAAAGAGCTACTCGTGTAGGATTCAAAACTGACCCCGATGTTTACAGATAGTATTCTTACCACTAAGGGTTGTTTGTTTATCTCTTAATAATTTCATTAAAAGACATACTTTGAACCGTTAAGAGCGGAATTTTGTTTGACAATTTTTTTTTGTCTCTTAATGGGTTCTAAAACCCTCTTAATGATTTGTATACTAGGTCTCCTTTTCAGCGTCCTAATTTCATTGTAATAATTACCAAATAATTATATTTTATCTTGCACTATATCACGAGAGCCTCTTAATCATTCTAATCATGTAATCATTATGCACCAAATCATTCAACAATTGACAAAAAATAATGTTATTTCTAATATTTTTTTTATAAAAATATTAAATATGCTCACACATTATTTTTTAGAAACATTGATGTTTCTAATAAATTTGTTTGACAATTAACAATTCCAAGGTTGCTTGAGGAGTGGACTAACACAAATTGTCAAAACTACTTTAAATCATAATCATTTAATTTCCCCCCTAAATTCTCTCTCTCTCTCTCTCTCTCTCTCTCTCTCTCTCTCTCTCTCTCTCTTTCTTTTTGTAATTGTATTGTGTATGAGTGTACTTGTTTTTAAAAAAAATATATAAAATGTAATTATAGAAAATAAGATAAAGAAAATATATTAAATCAAACTGATATCCATATCAACTTTGAGTCTAAAGGGGTGTTTGAGATTGCTTATAAAAATAATTTATTAATTTATTTCGGTGTGACACCGGTAAGGCGGTAATAAGCACTTTTGAGGGTTTGGATAAACAACTTATATTGGTGCCAAACCGGTAATAAGGACTTTTTAAAAAAGTTAAACCATTCTAACTTATAATAAGTTGATAAGGGCTTTTGTAAAAAAATATATGTTGTTTCAAATAAACAATCTCAAACATCCCCTAAAACTCAAAACTGCATTGTTTAAGGAGTTTAGTAAATGATAGATTTAGCCAAACAAATGAAGAGGACAAGTTAAATAACGAATCAGAACAATTAAACTTTTTATAAAACAATGTAAGGAGCCGTTTACTTAAATGCTTACCTGATAAGTACTTACCAATAGTATTCAACATTATAGTTTGTTTTGATACATAATATTTTAGTACATCCAAACATATCGAATGCAACAAGTTACTGAGTAAGTGCTTACCTGTGTAAGAGTCGTCATCCTTACTTACCGGGTAAGACTCTATATCCTTTTCATTTGCTCTTATCCGGTAAGATTCTTGGTTCTTCTCATATTCATCTGATAAGGAAATTTATCCGGTAAACGCCCCCTAAGATTGATCTATTGACCTTTTTATTTATTTATTTATAATTTTATAATTAAATTAACATATTAAACATGACTATAAAGAAATAAAATAATAGTCTATTTTTTTGTAGGTGAAAACAATTCAAAACCCATGTCTTTTTTAGCCCAAACTTAACATATCTTTTTATTTATTTATATAATTTATGTTTTTATGAAAAAAAAATATTAAAAATATGTTTTATTTTCGAAAAATCGATCAAAATAGCCGATCTTTCTAACCAAATTAATTTTTTTACTAATTGAATTACCGTTTTAATCAGGATTTACATAAATGACTTATGTATTTATGTAAGAAATATTTACGCAAATAGGGATCCTTATGTAAATTTACATTAAGATTTTTTTTTTCTAATCTGAAAATTGAATTTACATAAATATATAAAACATTTATATAAAATTAGAAGGTTACTCGTGCAATGAAGCTAAATAAATCTTCATTTTAATGTTTATTTTTATTCTTATCTATCGATATAATACGATTTTGCGTGTTTTTTCCCGGTTCACCAGGTTCTACCACTACGGGGCTAAATCATAGTCAAAATAAGAGTTTGATCCTGGCTCAGGAGGAACGCTAGCTATATGCTTAACACATGCAAGTCGAACGTTGTTTGGAGATATTAACTCTTCCGGGAACCAGTAACGCGTAAACCATGTTAAACCAAGACCATGGAGTTCTCTCCTTAGCCGTAGGGCAGGCATAAAATCAATTAACAGCCACATATAAGATATAAGCCTGAAATAGCTTGGTTCGGTATTTTGGAATGATGTAATTTGTCCATTCATTTCGGCAACGTTTTTATTTTTGAATGAAATATAAATTTGATGATAACACAAAAATTTGAAAAAAAATAAATCGACATTAGTATCAAATTAACTATTTGATAAATTTTCTTTTTTGGTGTAATTTCTCTAATTCAATTTTTATTATACATTAATTTAGATTTAATAACAAAATAATTTATTTTTGGTTTAATAATATAATTTTCTATAAAAATAATAGTTAAACATTATGTTAGAACTCAATGATTATCTTAATTATAATTAAGATTTTCTATATTTAAAATGAATGTTTATCTTGTATTTGATTATTTTTATCTGTAGTTAGTTACACGAATTTAAAATGGAGCTTTAATAAGTTGTAATTATGCAAAATTACTTATAATCTTAAATTGTAAGTAATATGTATCAATAAATAGTATTTTATGGATAAAAAATAGTTTTTAATAGTTTGTCAAATGTTTTATAATATAGTATAGATATGTCTAAAATAAAAATTTAGGGGCCGTTTACCAAATGCTTACTTGGGTAAGTGAACATCAAGTGATATTACCTTATCGGATGAATATGGTAAGAACCAAGAATATTACCCAGTAAGAACGAGACAAAAACCAAGAGTCTTACCCGGTAAGTGAGGGCGACAACTCTTACCACGATAAACGTTTATCGGGTAAATTGTTACATACACTACAGTTTTGGTGGAATAACATCTTATTCGGTAAATAAATGATAGTGATAAATTTTATTAGTATCCGCTTACCAGGTAAGTGTTTGATAAACGACCCCATAATTAAAAAATAACTAAAAAATAAATTTACCACAAGAATTTAACCATTTTGACCGATCTGCCTTTATTTTCACCACCATATCATATGTATATTTTGGGCCAAGTTTGCAATATGGTTTGTCGGGTGGTATTTAAACCATTTAAAAGCCCAACTTCAACGGAATTAAAAGCTTAGCTTCGGAGCTTCTCTGCCGATCGATCGTTGTCGTGGTTGCACCAGATTTGGATTCAGATTCTGGCCGTCGATCTGGTAACGGAGCTTTAACAAATGTGTTTTTCAGATCGATAACCACATTCGTTTCAACTGTATCACTGTGAATTTGATTGTGGAAGATAAGTACAAGTTCGTCCAGGAAAAATGCAAAGTAAGGGATCGAATTACCACCGGAATGCTACCGCAGGATTGGTTTTTCGATCCCCTATTTCAGCCTTGATGCTCTGCACCATCGCCGCTATCGCCTCCTTCTATGTCGCCGGCCGGTTAGTATTATCTATCTGCTTTTTAAATTTTTTTCACATGATTTAATCGGATGAAGTGATTATAGCTCATTGCGTAATTTCTGTACATCATTTTCTTCTTATGGACTACGATTTCTATATCTATTTGTATGCAAAATCATTAGGTTTCAACTAATTTGTCGCAAAATCGTTGGAACATTTCTCTTACTGAATTCGTTGCGTAAAATCGGATTAGGGCATCATTTTGTTTTTATGTCATGGATTGTACATACTTATTTTGATAAAGCATCTCATGATCGAATATTATGTGGGTTGTTTTTGTCTTTCTGTGAAGTTTATGGCAGGATGCAGAGAACAGGGTTTATTTGAGTAAAGAACTTGACAGAATTACAGGCCAGGTAAGAAAGAAGGCGAACTCATGATTAGTTTTATTGATACTTTTAGTTTGGTTTCTGAAGGAAATTATCTACTTAGGGATGTGGATGTGGACATTGCAAGTATCACTTTTAAGACATTATGCAATGCATCTTTTACGTGTTGGACTAGTGTCAGTAGAATTCATGCTTATTAGAGTAGGCAAGAGTTTGGGGCCGTTTGAGCTGTCACATTCAAAAGATGTTCATGCCACTTCTATCAACTACTGAATTATTTCTTGGTAAATGTATCTTTGAAATCACCTATACTTGATGAGTACTCACTATTTTAGGTCTGTTGGATAACATCAAAATCGAGCACATGTTACATGTTTCTAGAACTCAGAAATGTTAAACTTTTTCCATATTGTAGCTTGTTCTGACATGTATGATATGACATTCAATGCTTTCACGTTTATCTGTCTACTTGCTTAAATTCCTAAACTTTTATCTGGTGGTCTTTGGAGTTGGCTTGATAATTACTATTTAACGTCAGGGGAAATCTGCTATATCGGTGGATGATACGTTAAAAATAATAGGATGCAGGTAATGTGATTGTTCACTTCCAATTTTTGACTCTATTACCCATTCTAGTCAATAATTCTGTTTATAGGTTTGATTGAAGATTATATGCTTGTTAGGGAACAACAGAAGAAACTGACAGCTCTTGAGATGGAACTGGCTGCAGCTCGTCAAGAAGGCTTTGTGTCAACGCACTTATCAAAGACAAAAACTCCTCCCAAGAAGAGGCCATTGGTGGTGATTGGAGTCCTTACAGGATTTGGCCGCAAGAACAATAGAGAAGTGATACGTAAGGCATGGATGACGACAGGTAAACACAAATTTTCACATTTTCATAGCCTTATGTTACTTTGTTTTTGGCTAGGTATGCAAGTTTTGTGTCCTAAATATTATACCCGTTTTGCTATCATGAAGGAATGGTTTTGTTGAGAGAAACTTAATAAACGTGACTGTATGTAGTCAGCAAGGAGCTAGATGAGTAAGATCTTTCCAAGGACATGTTGCACTTGCACCTTAGACGGTTGAAATTTTATTGGATGGAGGAAGTCATTCACTTAAGTTGATGATACTAATTGAGAGCAATGCTTAGTATTAGACTCGAATCTTTGCATGCATAGTTGTAGTTATGTTCTTTATTTTTGCTTTTTCTGCCACATGCTTGGTATCAATAAATTACAAATGTTATTGTTGTAGGTGAAGCTTTGAAAAAGATGGAGGAGCAGAAGGGAGTTATTGCTCGATTTGTTATTGGAAGAAGGTACAATGCTCTTTCTCCTCTTCTTTTCACTCAAAGCTATTGTAGTTGTAGTTTCCATGAGTTTTTTTTTTCCTTCTGAACGTGCTACATGACAATGTAAATTGCAGTGCTAATCATGGAGACAGTCTGGATAGAGGCATAGATATTGAAAATAAGAACTACAATGACTTCTTTATCCTAGTAAGTACAAGGGCTCATTGATGTATATGATACATCGCCTTCTGCATTTTATGGTTTTTTCTTTACTTGTTTCTCTTGCCTCCGTATATAAATCATTGATATCTGTACATTTTCTACATGGTTCTTAGGACATCTTTCATGTTTTAGAATATATGACAATGGATGATGTCATGTAGTCATAGATACAATTTTTTTCATACTTTAGTGGCTCTAAACAGATATATTAAACCACTCTAGAAACTGAATGAAAGCTGGAAATTCACATATAAGACCCAGGTCTGTACCAACATTAAACTAGGTGTTGAATGCTGAAAATTCAACATACAAGACCCCATGTTTGTACCAACATTAAACCACTCTAACAACTGAATAAATGCTGAAAGTTCACATACAAGACTTAAGGTCTGTACCAACACTAAACTAGGTGACAGCATAGAAGTCTTTGAGATAGACTGTATACCTTTGTACCAGATGACCTCCAACTTTTATTTTCTGCTGCCTACACAGATTTGCTACTTAAAGTTGGGAGCCTTCCCTTTCCAGTTTTGTGGTAGGAAATTATTTGCTTGTATGCTTAAAAACATCGATTTCAGTATCCAGTTGTATTCTTGATTGAAGACTGAAAGTGCTGTAGCATGAACTTCTGCTTATGTATGATTTGGGTAAAGACAATATAAATCTGCCACTATTAATGAGCACTTAAATGCTTTTATACAGAGAGTGAGAGAGAGGTGACTTTTGGTAACAGCGAACTAAATTATTTGACCAGGATCTTAATTTAGGGAAAAGAAAATCTTGTCAATCTGATAGACATAAGACAGAAGGAAACAAAACGATGGGAACTAGTCACCTATTGGTTGAAAGGCAGCATGCTCTTTATGCAGTCATATTATTATTATTATTATTATTATTATTATTATTATTATTATTATTATCGCAACAGTTGGAGGGTGATTATGAATTTTAGATCTATATATCGACAGGAAAGCCATGTGGAAGCTCCCGAGGAACAACCAAAGAAGACCAAATTGTTCTTTGCCCATGCTGCAGAAAGATGGGAAGCTGAATACTATGCCAAAGTCAATGATGATGTTTATGTAAATATTGGTAAGCACAACGCTATAGGGATTGGTATACAAGTTTGGAATTGAGACATAACTTGCCTCTGCTTGAGTATGTGTAAATGTGTGTGTTCATTTAATCATATATGCATGTTGCTACCCAAATTATTTAACAAGAGCTCTAATAGCCTAAATTTTTAATGTTAAAATCAAGATCATGCCTCTTAATAATCTGTACCAAAGGTAATTATTGTATACTACGAACACAGACAATAACACACTTACTCGAGTATGTTATTTATTCTCCTAACCATGAACACAACGATCATCAAGGGAAAAGACAAGGATAATGAAGCTGCAGTTATTTTTCAGATGCCTTGGGAAGTGCACTTGCGGCTCAATTAGATAATCCTCGTGTATATATCGGGTGTATGAAATCAGGCGAAGTTTTCTCTGAACAGTAAGTGTGATCTAAAACTCTACCAGGACTCCCAATTATATCCAGTTGATATTATCTGTTCATGATGCTTATTTTTTATCTTCTTTTGTGGATTTTGGCAGGGGTCAGAAATGGTACGAACCTGATTGGTGGAAATTTGGGGATGGGAAAACGTAAGTCCGACTTTTCCTTTTTCTATTATGCAACAGTTATTTTGAACATAAATGAAGAGTTCAAATACATTGATTCAATTTCTTTGAGTTTACCACTCAAGGTGTATATATCCTTGATAAAACCAAATCAAACCAAACGTACCCAGAATATTCCGTTCTGAATTAGGGTATAGGAATAAGGATTAATGCAGACTTGCCTTTATCCCGAGGGAGTAAATTACTAAACTACCAATGTCAAATTAAAACCCTAAAACTTCCACAATTCTTTCACTCACGTAGCTCACTGTTGTCCATCCATTCCTGTCTGTGTACCAAATACACCCATAAAGATCACAGCTTTTTGGGAAGTCTTGAATGACCCAACTACGTGATCTTTAGGCCAAATTTCTGAACCCTAATTGGTTCTTTTCACTTTCATCCCTTTTGTTTCTCCCTGAATACCATTAGCCACTTCTTGTCCATATACATTATTTGATCTTTTTTATTGATTTCATCTGAAGCTTCTTGTTTTGAATGCAACCTTTAAAGCGATATTTTGTTTGTTTAACTGCTTAAAAGAATCATCAAAGTTGAATTTGTCTTTGCATATATCATCAAGGCTTGGGTTTTGTGATTAACAGGTATTTCCGCCATGCTTCTGGTGAAATGTTTGTTATATCCAAGGCTCTGGCGAGATTTGTGTCAATAAACAGGTTCCACACCTACACCTTCCATCAAATCTCATAGTTTACATTGCTAAAACAATTAGTCTGATATTGATATTTTTTGGGGAGTTGGCAGATCTATTCTTCGCACATACGCTTTTGATGATGTCAGTACTGGATCCTGGTTCATCGGTCTTGATGTTAAACATATTGATGACAAAAAGTTTTGCTGTGCATCTTGGTCCGCAGGTCTCTCTCTCTCTCTCTCTAATCAAACGAGAACATGTCAAAATAAGAAAACATGAGAAAGGTGATTTTCCATTGAAATCACATGCGATTACGTAACACGGTCAATGCAAGGAGTGTGTAATCACATTTGATTTTACATGCGATTTTAGTGTAAAATCACATGTGATTGGCCGCTCTTGTGTTTTTCTTATTTGGTCACTGTTCTTCTATCAACCCGACTATATATATGTACAGACTGCAAATCATATAAAAACGGTCAAAAAGTTAGAAATCAGTGAAACCGAATTTCATGTAGTTTTTTCATAGATGAAACTAACATGTGAAAACCAAACTATGAGGTGTGAGCATCAATCAAAACCTTCTAACGAGTTTGATTTTAAGCTATGATTCATTTGCTTCACATGTTTTGCTCTTGTGAAGGAGTATGAGTGTGTGTTTTATGTTTAAACGTATTTTTCTGTTTTCTTTCACACACACACACACACACTTTTTGACCTTTCATCTATGAAAAAACCATGTCTAACAACACATACAAATTGATTTTCACGATTTCCAGCTTTTAGACTGTTTCTATATGTTTTGATTTGCCCCATGTGTACATATTTTATATATTGAGACTTTAAATTTACTTATCTATTTTGGAGAAATTATAAAGAATCTGTCAGAGATACTCCAAGGAATGTGGCAAAAATGGCTATGATGGCGGAGTTTGATGTGTGTGGTTTGTGTTTCACAGGAGGTATCTGCGCAGGTGCATAAGTTGATGTAATTAAAGAAGCCGAAAGAATGTAACAACAGGGGATGTGGGTCGGAGATTGGTTGGACATGTACACAAGTGAGATGGTCGTATGGCGGTTAGAGAAAGTTGAATAGCAACGATAATTTTCGTGGTTTCGGTTTACGGCCAGCCAGGAGCATAAGTTTATGGGTTGAGGGAACCCAATTTGGCTGAAAAAGCTTCATTCTTTTCTCTTGATACATACATACATACATAGAAGCTAGTTACATAGTGCTTTACCAAAGTATTCTTACATTGCGATTTTCCTTCTCTCCTTCACCCCTTTGTTTAATGAAGATGGTACCCAATTAATTAGTCGTGAAATATTTAAAATCAATTTCAATCAGAACCGTTTACCAAATGCTTAACTGATGAGTGATTATTCCTTACCGGACGAGCATGATGAGGATTAGGAGTGTTATTTATGTGGTTACTTCGTTTGGGTTGATCGGTTTTTAATTTTTCTAAAACTAACCCATAACCAAACCAAATAAGGTTGGGTTTGATCAGTTTTGAGTTATTTGGTTCAGTAATCGGCTATATCATATAAGGATTCATATTTTTCATTGGACGCTTGCTCAAATAATTTTCTCAAATTCAATACCCCTTTGCTTCTAATATATAATTGTATCATACATTCATACTTAACAATTGACTTGTATCAAGTAAAAATATCATCTACCAAAAAATCAAATATTTAACAGAAAACATTATTTTCTTCATGCGACCAACTATATAAAGTAAAATACATAATATAACAAACAACAATATCTACCAATAAACAAAACATTATATAACAAAAAAACAATAACTACCAACAAACAAAAGACATTATATAACAATAAAATAATTAAAATAATAATGGTAATGTATTTGGTTGTATTTTTATAAAAATGAAATATATAAATATAAGTAGAATTTGTTATTCGGTTAATTTGGTGTCACCGAAATAGAAAAAAGTTAACCAAAAACTGATAATCGTCCAACCCTTGGAACATACTACAACATCAGGTGGTGAAGAGCCGAAGTCGAGGTGCCAAACCTTCCTAACCCTACTGTGCAAAAATGGATATGCATTTGAAATGAGATGATTTGTGGGTTCTGAAGGGCTAGAGTGGTTGAATCTACTACCGCACGAGTAACATTTCTCGTTGCGGTTGATCTACTTACCACCCTTCCTTTAAGAGGAATTCAAAAATACAACTCGAAACTGTTTAACACACATCGTATTTAGTTCGGGTGGGTTATTGGGTTTCGATTATTTTGGACACCCTAATGATGATCAAGAATCTTATCTAAAAAGAAGCATAAAAAATGACCGGGAATCTTACACCGAAAGGTGAGTAAGAAAACTCTTAAATTTATTAATATTCCAAACTCTTACCTTTTATAAACATGTAAAATGAAAATTGAAGAGTTTTTAGAAACTCATATTATCGTTTTCTGGTCAATGGATCACGTTTTAAAAACCCACAAATTTACCTTAAAAAATCTTAATTATCGTACCTATAATTAGTTTTTTAAGTATATATTCGAACTTGAGTATATTGATCCAATACTTTTATTATATTATACGATATTTACAATTTATTAATACCTTTGACGTCCATAAAACAAAATCATAACCAATTAATAAATTTTTTAAATACAAGATAAACTTTGAACCCTAATATACTCCAGTTTTAATATACATTACATTGCACCATATCATATAAAGACAGTTCTAGTATTAAAATAAACGTTCATATACATTTATGTATAGGGGCGGATCTAGCCTCTAAGCACGGGGAAAGGCCCACAGATGCTTCCCTTCTCCAAGTCCCATCCAATGTGCCTCCACCCCATTTTTCCGGGATCCGCCACTGTTTTACATAGGGGTGAGCACCCTTTTTGACCGGAACCGGAACCGGAATCGGCGGTTCTTGAAATATTGGAACCGGAACCGGAATCGGTTAGAGCGGTTCTTAAATTTTTGGAACCGGAACCGGAACCGTCGGGAACCGGTTCCGGTTCCGGGTTCCCGCTTCCTAAAATATTAAAAATTTGTTATTTAGAAATAAAAAATAAAACATTGCCAAAACACTAAATAAATAAGCAATAATACAAATTATACAGAATAATTGTTACAAATATTGATTAACGATTACAAACCATAATAGACTAATAGAAAATGTTCAAAGTTTAACGATTACATACTATAATGGTAATTGTTCAAAGTTTAACGATTACATACTATAATGGTAATTGTTCAAAGTTTAACGATTACATACTATGAATCCAAGTGAACACACAATTTGAAAAAATACGAATCATTTTATATGAAGAATTTAGATGAAGATTGAAAATGACGACGTGCTTTTAAGATGTAAACCTAATATAAATTTGATATTAAAAAATAATTATTTTTTTTATTGAAAAATACCGGGTACCCGGCGGGTAACAGTTCCGAAAAATTGAGAACCGGAACCATTCTCAATCGGTTCCGTATTTTAGGAACCGGAACCGAAACCACTCACATCGGTTCCGGTTCTGGAACCTGCGGTTCCAAGACGGTTCCGGTTCTATAGCCGGATACCCGGTTCCGCTGCTCACCCTGGTTTTACATATATAAATCCCTGCGAATTGGGTAATAACCCGCATCCATCGGGTCAAACAAAAGTATCCATGGATACCGTCGGGTCAACGGCAACCGCGTATGTACCCGTCTAGGGTCTATGTTCTTCTCTACACGCTCTTGTTTCCCGACCCTCTCTGCCGTTCCATCTCCATCAACAATGGATTACGATTTCAGAAATAGGCTGAATCCACCGTATAATTCACAATCCTCCATGTACAACCGCCCAACACCGTCGTCTTCGTCGTCGCCGATGTCGTCGTCGACTCATCAGATGTACGGTCCGTCATCGCTCTACCCTAAGGTCGGTCAATCCGGTGGTCACTCCGTTGTTCATCCGCCCTCCCGCACCAACACCACCTCCTCTTCCTGTAAGTTCTAGACTATGTTAATGTGATTTTAGGTATCTGATTAATGATCTTCGCTTTTTTTTAGTTGTTTCTAAGTTCCTTTAGATCGGATGAATAATTTTTTTGGAATTCTATTACGCATCGTATTTCCTTGTCGATTGTGATCTTTGTATCAAAATCTCTTTTGATCAAAGGCTTTGCTTCTGATTGCTGATTAATTTATTTCAATATTCTTGTAGCAGGAATGGGGATTAGGGTTACATTAAAACCGGAATTTCGGATTACACCACCGGTATCGTTTCTGTACTTTATTCAAACTCGTTACTTCTTGTTTTTTCAATAATCACTGTCTGCGGCACGGGATCACTTCCGATGTGGGTTTATTGATCAATCTTTCCATGAATTATCGTATTCTTAACCTAATATTATATTTTCGCTGATAATAGGGATATTTCCACATCGATTTGGGTATCTACGTTATCAGCACATACTTCTTATGCTCTGTTGGTTTATTGAATTGCATCACTTGTATGCCAACCTATGATTTGTAGTTCAATTTCTTTTAGGGGACAATCTGATGGTTGGAGGTATTGTAAGAACAGGTTGATTTGGTAACAAAGAAACTCTGGCAAGTGGAAACCATCGATGTGATAGAATAAGTATATTAACCTCTGTACTGGAAAATGCACGAGTAATTGGTGGTGGGTAAGGGATTAGAGAAGCAAAAAGCGGCTTTTATAAGGTAGTAGCAATGTGATCTTGTTTCTTGACGTGTAGGCTTATAGCAGGTCGAAATGAATCATGATAGAGGTATCCAACTTTGATTTACCATAGTTGATAATGGCGTATAAGATCCTTTTAGTCAGATGTCATAGAACCCCAGTGCAAATTGCTAGCTTCCTTCAGTGAAATGGATAGCGTTAGAATATACTCATCAGGAATAACAATATAACATATTTTGTTTCAGGATAGCTGCTATCGTCTCACTATATTTCTGGATCCATGAAAAGAAGAAAATGTGGAAATCTTAGACTCACCTGTTCATAATTTCATATCATGTTATTGACTTCTTCAGAAACCCTAACAGTCCATCTTTAAAAAATTGTTTTTCATTAACATATGCATTATATATGCAACTTTCTCAGCATCTGGTTGTGTAGAATAGAGGTGCATTCATGTGTTTCTTTGTTACCTAATGGTTTGTGAATAACTACTTGTAGTAGATCAGAGGTATTCATGAATGGTTATTCTAGACCAATTTCAAGTATTTTCCATCTTTATATGTGATGTAAAGCAAGCCTCTTTTAACGTCTTGTTTATTTAAATTCCAACACTATCTGGTCCATATTTAATAAAAGTCCTTTTTTGTAGCCTCAAATGTCCCCACACATTGGAGAGGTTCCTCGTAGCACATTTCAGTTTGACTTCGAACTGGAGAGGAAGATACTTGCTGAAGCAGAGAAGGAAAACCCAAATTGGAGCAAGCTTGGGTTGGAAAACCATCCCCATAAAACTGCAAAACCAATATCTCGTCCCGTATGTTTTTTTTACTCTCTTCCCTTGTGCCCTTCTCTGCTTTAACTTTAGGGGCTGTTTGGTTGGTTTTCCATTAAGTCCTGCATGAGTGAAGTTGTTTGTGTGGATAAATCTGTCTGTGTAGATTGGAAAGTTTTTTGTTCGGGAGGGTTTTTCATAGATGGAAGGAGCGTGCTTTTTAATTAGTTTAGGCATGTTTGGGAAAAAACTTGGCTTTTTGCATAAAGCTCCCATCTAGAAGCTTACAGAATAAGCCACTGTCAAAACACTCATGTATAGTTGACAGAATAAGCTGCGAGTCTCGTTAAGCTCATTAAGCTGCTAACAAACAGACCCTAACAGTGGCTTCTTATTGATTCAAATGTTATATATACAAACACACACACCCTAATTCAGATTAATGATTACAAAAGTCTTTTTTGAACTCGGAAGATGGTTGTGAATTTGGATGCAGAACTCTTCTAATGTAGATCCAGTGGTGGGGAAATACATAGCAACAGGTCTTAATAGAGAGGCAGTACCTATTGCAGTTGCCAAATATGGAGATAATCCAACTAAGGTTTCAAGTTATTATCTTATAAGTATTATATGATATGATTTGAGTTATGATAATGTTGGATTATTCAGGATTTTGTGTGTATTTTTTACAGGTTAGGGAATTTGTGCATGGTTATAGTGTTTTGCGAGAGATGGGGTTTGAAGCTAATAGTATTGCTGAAGCATTATTCAGCCATGACAACGATAAGGAGGCTGCAGCGCATTTTCTGAGCGCTTCATCCTGAACAAATATTAGCTTGTATCATATTATTATTTGTGTTTGTGGTTGTGGCTGTGGTTGTAAAATGTGGTTGTACATTGAATTTCATGAATAACTTCTCATGGTTGTGTTGCCTTACTTGCTATGTTGGTTCTGCACTTTGGGGCTGTTTACTTACCGCTAATGGTTTGTGCGGCCTATTCGCTCAGCAATACATGAGTGCTTCTTTACGGTTTGACCATCAAGTCATTAAGCCAATACATGAGTGCTTCTTTACGGTTTGACCATCAAGTCATTAAGCCAAAACCTGTCGTCCCTATTAAGCTACCTCAAATAACTAGACTAGAAATGCCTCCTCAAACAATTATATTAGAAATGCCTCCAAGTAATTTAGATCCACTTACGTGCATTTCAATTTATTTTATTTGCACATTAAGAATGACTGAATGAATGCACTACATTTTTTTGAATTATAATAAATACTTTATAATAATTACTAATAACGATAAGCATGTTAAAATTATTTAATAACAAAAAATATTTTTTTGATAGATCTTTAAATTTATCTATTCGTCGTCCAATAGATGAGGTTGACTATTCACATGAACACAATAAACAGATAAAATAAGATATAATTTATAGGATATTGACGTAACAAGGCTATCAATTGCAACTACTCCAAAAAAAACCCACATATAATCGAATCATGGACGTATCATGCCTGATTTCATCATTATATTAATGGCATGTTATATTACGAATATTAATTATTATTATTATGATTATTATTGTACGTATACGTCCAGGTCCACCTCCACTGGGATTTGGTAGCCGCCTGAGCATTCTCTCCCTAATAATGCTTCTATTCTATGATTTTTTAGCACATTCAAATTACCTGTTAATATCATAATATACAAGTCATTAAATTATAAAATATATTAAAATTTAATGAACTTTATTTCAAATTCTATTTAGTTTACTGATAGTTTTTTATTCATTACTATAACAAATATTCATGTTTATGTCTCATACTCTTTTTCTTCCGAAAAGTGTAAGAAGGAATTTTCACTCTTGATGTACATTAGAATAAGATGCACGTATATCATTCACGATTCATGGATGAACTTGAGGTTAAAGGTGATTAAGGGTTTAGATTCCTTCTTACGCTTCTCATCTTAACGAAAATAAACAAACGCATGAAATCATTGTTGATATTCGTTTATTTAACTAAACGAACAAAAAATGTGTTCATACGCCTTTATTTATTAAATAAACAAACTTCTTATCAAATGATTCATTAAACGTTCGATTCGTTTACAACCTTGGTAGAAACAACTCCATCAATAATTATACCATTAAGTTGAACGATGAAAATATCAATTAATTTTCGATTAATCTTTTTCATAGGGACGAAAATCTTAATATTCAACCAAAAAAACTTGTACATTCTATTAAATTAATCGGAAAAAATAAAATGTCACAATCAATATGAATAAAAACAAATTGAATAAAGATTCACGAGAGAGAGAAAGGAGGGTAATAAAATGGGCGCGGCGGTTCTGCGAGTTATCTCCTCCGTGTTGAAGATAGCTCCTCCACCGGAAATGGCGGAACCCTTGTTCCCATTCTTATTACAGCTTGTTCCACTAAATCATCATCATTAACTTCCATTCCAAATCATTGCTTTCATTAATTATTCTTCTCTTCTTCCTCCATTCACCACCACGTGCATCCTCCGCTCATCTCTCCGATCTCATTCATTTCTTCATACCCTATTACCCCATCTCTCTCTCTCTCTCTCCCATTTATTGTTCTTCACCCTACCCTCATTAATTTCAAATCTCTCTCTCTTTCGATTCATTTGTCTCTTTCAATTTGGTGTTGTTCATTCTAGTCGGTGGAGTGACCTTTGCTGATTTGCGTCTACTTTCTGACATATTTCATCAAGACGTCAATGGATTGAGCTTCTCCTTACTGAGATCTGAAAACTGTGAGTTCAATTGTTCAATTACATTTCGTTTTCCACTTCCTCGTTGAAAACTTGTCATCGTTTACTTCACAATTTTGTAATTCTGTGTTTAGTTCTATTTCTATCTAATTTAACCACGATTCCTTCATTCTCGATTACAAAAGATTAAACCTAACGCATTTGAATTGGGTGAAAAACTGGAATGCTTCCTCTGTTTTCACTACAATCCAAATAGAGGAACAGAAGTCAGTAAAGTACAGAAGAAGATGAAGAAAAATCAAAGTGACCCACCAATCAAAGCTTCAATTCATTTACGTTTCTTGTTTGACCAATAACTTTTGCTCCCATATAAGCTAGCTGTACTCAATTTATTGAAATTTAATTGTTCGTCTCTTGATGGTTGTTATTTATGAAGGTCATTACTAGTTTACTACTCAATCCTTAACTTTTCCACCATGTTTTCTTATTCATTTAGATGAACACAAAGGTTTTGGGCCTGTGAGAAAATCAAAAGAAGATGATGATGGGCAAGAACAAGTTCATCTTCTCTGCAGTTTTCTTATTTGGAACAGTGATATCATTAGTTTCCATGGAACCCTTTGAAGATAAGCAGATTTTAGTTGATTTCATTCAACGAATTTCGCATAGTAGGGCAATCAATTGGGATATGGGTTCTTCAGCTTGTCTAAATTGGACTGGGATAACATGTAATCATGATAATTCAAGAATCATCGCTGTTCGGTTACCGGCTTCTAGCCTTCATGGTCCTATTCCTTCAAACACTCTTAGCCGATTACCGGCTCTTCAGATCTTGAGTTTGAGATCCAACGGGTTAACGGGTCCTTTCCCATTTGATTTCTCAAATCTTAGAAACCTGACAGCTTTGTATCTTCAATCGAATGGCTTCTATGGCCCGTTGCCTTTGAATTTCTCTGATTGGAACAATCTTTCTATACTTAATCTGTCGAATAATGGCTTCAATGGAAGTATTCCTCCTTACATTTCGAATTTGAGTCACCTCACTGCTTTGAGCTTAGCGAACAACTCGCTTTCTGGTGAAATCCCGAATCTTCATATCCCGAGTTTGCAAGTTCTTGATTTGTCAAACAACAATCTCACTGGACCCGTGCCTGAATCTCTTCAAAGATTTCCCACCTCGGCTTTTGCAGGAAATGATCTTTCTCCTCTAACTTCAATGCCGCCCGTTGTTTCTCCCAGCAGCCAACCATCAAAGAACTCCTCAAAACTCGGTGAACCCGCGATTCTTGGAATCACTATTGGTGGTTGTGCTTTGGCGTTTGTAATACTTGCATTCATAATGATTCTTCGGTATTCGAAAGACTGGAAGGATGTTTCTGAGAGACCAAAGAAAGAAGAAAAGACAACAAAACTACGATCCGGCAGCCACAATGTGAACGGGAATGGAAGCCTCGTGTTCTTCGAAGGCAGTAACCTTGCATTCGACCTGGAGGATCTGTTTCGAGCTTCGGCTGAAGTTCTCGGAAAGGGAACATTCGGTACGACTTATAAAGCAGCATTGGAGGATGCAAGCACGGTGGTCGTGAAGAGATTGAAGGAGGTGGCTGCTGCAAAACGAGATTTCGAGCTCCAAATGGAACTCGTCGGAAATATTCGACACGAAAATGTTGTTCCTTTGAGGGCTTATTACTACTCAAAAGACGAAAAATTGATGGTGTATGATTATTACGATCAAGGGAGCGTTTCTTCGATGTTACATGGTATGTAGTCGATTTCGATTCAATTTCTCGTTTCAGTTTTGCTATTTTGTTCGTCTTGCGCTAATCAGTTCGACATTTTGCAGCGAAACGTGGCGAGAATGCAGGCCGGATTCCGTTGGATTGGGAAAGCCGGTTGCGAATAGCGATCGGAGCTGCCCGAGGGATCGCATATATCCACTCGCAAACCGGAGGGAAGCTTGTTCATGGAAACATAAAAGCCTCCAACATCTTCTTTAACCCGCAGCGATATGGTTGCGTAAGCGATCTTGGTCTAGCAACGGTGATGACCCCGTTGGCGCCCCCGGTTATGCGGATTGGCGGATACCGGGCGCCGGAGGTGGCAGACACGCGAAAAGTCTACCAAGCATCGGATGTTTATTCTTTCGGAGTTGTTTTGCTTGAGCTTTTAACAGGGAAATCGCCAACTCATGCCACCGGCGGCGAGGAGGTGGTGCATTTGGTGAGGTGGGTTCACTCGGTGGTCCGGGAAGAATGGACGGCAGAGGTGTTTGATGTGGAACTGTTGAGGTACCCAAACATAGAAGAGGAGATGGTGGAGATGTTGCAGATAGGGATGCAATGTGTGGCGAGGTCGCCGGAGCAGCGCCCGAAGATGGCGCAAGTGGTGAAACTGGTGGAGGATATACGGAGGACGACGAATACGGGGGCGTCGGAGGTATCAACGCCGGCAACGGAGATGGCATCGTCTCCGGTAGTAGCACAACAGATAGGATCGTCTGTAGTTGCAATGTGAACATTATTTTTTATAAGAATTAGGTGTGAAAATAATTGTGATAAATTATAAAAAAATATGAAGTATGGGGATTGGGGTAATTTGGTAATTTACTTATATATTATTAGGAATATATAGGGGTTTATGTTTATCTAAGCTCATTCTTTGGTTGACAATTTATAGTCAACACTGTTGTTGGTCTTAATAAACTACGATTTTAATCCCTGTGGTTTGTTGTAAAATGCGAATTTCATCCTTGTACTTTTAAAATTACGATTTTAGTCCCTCTGATTTATAGATTTTTGCAGTTTGAGTCCTTGATGTAGTTCAAAATAATTAAGTTTGAGGATAAAAATAAAAATAAAAATAAATTACAAAACATAAGGATGAAAAAAGAAATAAATTACTACTATATAGATGAAAAGAAACAACGAATTGAAAACTATAAGGATGAAAACCATAATTTCAAACCCACATAGATAAAAAAACGTAGTTTACTCTAAAAATTATTTATTCAGAATTTCTCCTTTATTTGTTACTAGAAGGTGTACTGGTGTAATATAGCATGATGCTTTTCGCTTAATTTTTTGTCCCTATCAGCGGGAATGTTTTCGGTGGTTTATCAGTTTCATACGATATTTATGTGTATTAATAGATTTGATACTTATCATGTATTTACACATGTTTATGTGTTAGTTATTAGCTAGTTTTGTGGATTTAAATTATCTATGAATGTATTGTGTAACAATAAGTTGTAATCTAATTTATGTTTTAATAGAATATAAATTATAAGAGGTGGTTTAACATGTATTACAAATCTGAAGACTCGATAAAAACTTGAAAAATATATATCGATATTAGTATCAAATTAACGATTTAATTTTTTTCATTTTTTTGGTATAATTTGTGCAATTTTGATTTTCTTTATTGCAATTTAGTTTATATAGATTTCCTACTTAAGATGTAATTTATTTTAGTTTTAATAATTTAATATTTTTATAAAGATATTTGATAAAAAAAATTATTAGAGTTTAATAATTATCCTAATTATATTTTAAATTCTTTATATTTAAAATAAGATATTTATCTTATATTTGATTATGTTTGTCGGTTAGTAATATAAATTTAAACATGCAGTTTTCAAAAACTATACTCATACAATTTATTTGAAACTAGAAGGGTACTCGCACAATGCAGTGAAATACATCTCAAATTTAGTATTTTGTTTTTTTTTTGTCTTGGTCGATGTTATAATACGGTTTTATGTGGTTTTCAGAAAGCAATAATGTTTTTATTTTTGAATAAAATATAAATATGAAAATTTCATAAAAAAATAATATATATATATATATATTGATATTAGTATCAGACTAACTATTTAAAATTTCTCGTTTTTTGTGTATTTTTTAATTTATTTTTTAATTTTTGGTTTAATAATATAATTTTTTATAAAGATAATAATTATGTATTTTGTCAGAACTCAATGATTATCCTAATTATATATTATAGTGTTTTTATATTTAAAATGAAATGTTTATCTTCTATTTGATTATGTTTATCTGAAGTTTGTTACACGAGTTCAAACATAAAGTTTTAATAAGTTGTACTTACGTACAATTTACTTGTAATTTTGAATTTTAAGTAATATGTATCAACAAACAGTATTTCGTACATAAAAAATGATTTTTAAAAGTTTTTGTTAAATGTTTTATAATATAGTATAGATATTGAATTTTAATTAATATACATTGGAATTCAATAAAGCATTTACTACCTGTTATATGTAATTTGCTTGAGGGTTGGGCACAGGATCAAAACTGGCTTAACCGGTTACTCCCTTTGGATCTGTAGCTAGGGCTGTAAACGAACCGAACGAACACGAACGAATGCTTGTTCATGTTCGTTTGTTTAACTTAACCGGATAAACGAACAAATACGAACGAAAAACTTTATGTTCGTGTTCATTTAGAAATCAGGTGTGTTCGTGTTCACTTATGTTCGTTCGTTTACGTTCTTCGTTCGTTAACATGCTAAACGAACGTAAATGAACGAACATAAACGAACTGGTTAAACGAACATAAATAAATATTATTTGAATCCAAAATAAATAAATAAAATATTATATATTAAATTTAATATATAAACGAACATAAACGAATGGTGAATGAACGAGCGTTCACGAACATAAATGAACGAACGAAACCGTTTATGTTCGTTCGTTTAACTAAACGAACAAATTTTTTTTGTTCATGTTCGTCCATTTATTAAATATACGAACATAAACGAATTTCCTGCCGAATGGTTCACGAAGTGTTCGCTGAATGTTCGGTCCGTTTACTGCCATACCTGTAGCCGAGAGGGAGACCGATTGAGAAACTCGCTTAAGATCTGGGTTTTTATGTAAGCCTGCTTGATCCAGTTTCTGAGCCCATTTCATTAAGCCCCAATTTTATTTCTCCAATGACTTGATGAGGCCCATAAATTGACCTTACATCTATTGGACCTTTTAATAAATCTATTAGGAGCAATGTTTTAACAATTCAATACAAAAATGGCCGAATAGGGTCAGCCCGAAATGAAGGGACCGATTATGGGCCAATAATTACATATTTTGTAGAATTGCAGGACCCAAGACCCATTATAGGAACCGAACCACTTACGTATATGATATTTTTGAAGAATTATATTATTAGAAGGATAGTAAGTGAGATACATCTTGATTTTAATATTTTATTTTATTCATTATTTCAGTCGATGTTATAGTATGGTCTTATGTGATTTTGAAAAAGCGATAATGTTTTTACTTTTGAATAAAATACAAATTTGACAAAAATATATCCATATTAGTATCAAATTAACTATTTAAAATTCTTATTTTTTGTGTAATTTTTTTATTATAATTTAATTATAATTTAATTTAGGTTCAATAACGAAATAATTTATATTTGGTTTAATAATATAATTTTTTATAAAGATAATAATTAATTATTTTGTTGAAACTCGATAACTATTATAATTATATTTTAGATTTTTTAGATTTTAAAATAAGATGTTTATCATTTATTTGATTATGTTTATCCGCAGTTATTTATACGAATTCAAACATCGAGCTTTAATAAGTTGTACTTATGCATAATTACTTGTAATCTTGAATTTTAAGTAATATGCATCAATAAGCAATACTTCATGCATAAAAAAATGTTTTTAAGAGTTTTTGTCAGATGTTTTATAATATAGTATAAATAATTATTTTGTCAGAACTCGATAATTATCTTAATTATATTTTAGATCTTTTAGATTTTAAAATGAGATGTTTATCATTTATTTGATTATGTTTATCCGTAGTTAGTAACACGAATTCAAACATGGAGTTTTAATAAGTTGTACTTATACATAATTTACTTGTAATCTTGAATTTTAAGTAATATACATAAAAAATGATTTTTAAGAGTTTTTGTCGAATACTTTATAATATAGCATAGATAATATAAGTTTTTCAAAAAATTTACATGATTTAAAAAAAAAAAAAAGCTTAAGGTTAAATTTTTTTCAAAAATCACAATCACAAAAGTATGTGTAACATTTTTGTATAAAAAATAATTTTTAAAAAAAATGGGCCGGGCAGGGGTTGATTTGAGACCGGCCCAATGGACCATGGCCGGTTACTAGGCATAGAGGCTAGATCAATCCTATGTTTTTTGGTCAAGACAGAGCGGCAAGATTTTAAAAGGACCGAATTTAGATCATCCTCGTTCTGGACTGATCATTAACTATTTCTTTTAACTTATGACTTATATACTATCAAGTATCAACCAATGTTATATTTCAAAATCTTTTATGATATATTGTATCGAGCTTTCTATGTGTAAATGAGGTTTTTTGATACGATTATTTTTTACGTGCTTAATGTGAAAGTAAAAGAGATGCAAATGGTAAAAAACATACACACACATACACACACAAAACAAAGCAGATGCATTGATAATGAAGAGGTTAAACCATCATTAGTGACGTCACAAGAAATTAATTAATTAATTATGCAAGTAATATATTTGGGTTAACGAGAATTTCTGATCTCAACTAGTCATTATCTGATTGTTTATTATTCATCAATTCTTAATTCTTAATTAGTGTATGAAATTAATGCTAATTGTTTAATACATACAAATGTTTGTGAATACATTTTTTAAAGTTGATGCAATTAATGTATTTTCATCCATTTTCATGCCTTCTTTACATATTTACCACTTGAATTAAATATCATTGCTTATCTACACACGTATACATTAAAAACCTTTTACTTCACTTTGATCCAAATCAAGTATCAGATTACTGAGTTTTCTTGATTAAGCATCTCTTTTGTCTTCGCATCTTAAGATACTTTTTAAGCCATATATACTTAATGAAAAATAAAACTGTATGTATGGATTAATTTATCTATATAGATTGAGAATGTTTTAAAAGATTTTTGAACAAGTCATTTTTATAACATTAATTAATTACCAAACATTGGGCATGAGAATGGGTCTCGATCCTTCGGGGAACCCGGTCAACTCGCCCCGGTCGGGGACGGGATTCCCTGCTAATTCGGGGACGAGGACAGGGACGGGTATCGTACTCCCCACCCCACCCCACCCCACCCTACCCTACCCTACCCTACCCTACCCTGTATCTATATACATATGTATTATTTGTTTCAACTAAAGCGGTAACTCGTAATTTCTATTACCTAACTAGGTTTATAATCTAAAACTGTTATTTTTTAGATGTTAATATGTAATATTTTGAATGTTAAGTTAAAATACAATTACTCGATAAGTTTTGTATATTACTCGATATGGTTTTATATTACTCAATATCTTTTGGTACATATGACTTTAATTTTTTTTTTTTTGTGATTAAATTGATTTTTTTTGTTATAGGTTACTAACTCTTATATAATGTTGTGGTTTTTTTTTATTAAATTAAATTCATTTTGGTTTTAGTTTATTGAAAATGTTTGAGATTTAAACATGTATGGTCTCTCATATATTTAGTTTAAAATAACTTACATAAACGAGATGAGGATGAGGATAGAGATAAGTAATCGGGGACGTCCCCGTCCCATTCCCATGTCTAACAAACAGTCATATATTACTAACTGAATAGACAATAACCGTAATTAATCTTATTAAGCTGCTAACGAACAAACCTTTTATTTTCTCTTTGACGTTATATAAGTATCTGATTTTTTTTCTTTTTTTTTTTATATTTTCATAAATAACAAATATAGATGAATTTTTTTC